ATCGGCAAGCTAAAACGCACAAAGCACATAAAACAAAAATTTTGACGAGAAAGAATTCAACAACAAAAAAATTCATTCTTTTAACAAATTGTAGGTACATTGTGTGTGTTTTCTTGCTTTTTTTCAACATTCCGAATTTGAATTTCGACAAAATATTTCGTGAGCATATTATGCAACATATACTATACCTTAGGTTGAGAAACTGAAAAAAGAAAATTAAAAATTTGGGGCACTGTACGCTTTGACAGCTGGCAGACGCTGACGACTTGAAGCTGGTACCTGTAGGTTGCCCTGAGAGAATAAAAAACCCATTTCATTGTTTCCACAAATTGTATCTACATTATGTTTTTTTTTCTGGCTTTTTTTTCAACATTCCGAATTTGAATTTTGACGAAATATTTCTTTAGCAGAATAATATGCAACCTATACCACTGATTTAAAAAAACGAAAAAAGAAGAAACTGAAAATAAAATTAAAAAATTGGGTTTTATACATTTTAACAGCTGTCAGATGCTGCCGACTTGAGTAAGCGAGCACCTCTGGGTTGCCTTGAAGGTGGCCAAGTTGTAACGCCCCAACGATAAGCAAACCCGTCCAGCTATTTCTGTGTGTATTTGCAGTTGTATTTTTTCCCAACCTCCATGTTTTGGAAGTGTCAGATGTGTTCTTTTTTGTTGATGTTTGCTATTTTCCCCTCCTGGGTGTACAGCTTGTTGTTTTTCTAGCTGGAAATGCCTCGTGAAGGGGGAGTTTTGTAATCTTCGTGTTTTTTGTTGTTGTGTGTATTTGTTTTGCCCTGCAATAGTCCCCCCCTCCGTCGAACCTGCTCTAACGCCCACCTGTATAAGACAATCACCTGTACAAACGGACATTTCCCATTTCCCCTCTCGCGCTTTTTGTTTTTTTTAACATTATAATTCTAATGTCACTATTTTATCTACCTTCCTAAAACAGTCAGGATTGGATGGCCGTCTTAGTCAAGTTCGACTGTATTTTTCACTCCGTGACTGGTGAAATCGTTAGGCTAGCTATTTTCTTTGCACATTATAACGGACGTGATTTCTATTCCCCCTTTGGGAAGATATTTATCGACTTTCTGCATCGTTTGCTTTTGATTGCATATTATATTTATGACGACTGGCACAAGTCAGCACCCAACCTCCTATATTGTGGCATAATCACAGTTCATTAAAAAAAAGCAATACGCAACCCCCCCCCTCCACCCCCTCCACACACACACAAAACAACAACAACAAAACCCCGCTATTTGCCTCTCCTTGTATTGGTACTTCGTATAAACTATAGTTAAAGGGATATTTGTGGGTGGTTGGCAGGTGCTCCGGTGTGGTTTGCTCCTTCTTTCTGTCAAACATCTGTTATCCTTGTCTTTCCTATTCTTTCTTGTATTTTACTCTCTAGTAAGACCTCTAGTCTTTTGTACTTATCACTACATATTATGACCTATTTGTGTTGCAGGTGTCGCCAAACTCTGACGTGGGTGGTCGGCGGGTGCTGTCATGTGGTTTGCTTCTTCTTTCCTATCAAACACCAATCTCTTATCTCTCCTTCTTTTTGGTGTTTGTTACTCTCTTGTAACTCCTCTAATCTTCGGCACTTATGATATGATCTAATTGAGTTGCAAATGCCGCAAACGTCTTATCAAAACAAATATCATTATGATATGTGTTGTAAGTGCTACAGGACTCATAACTAAAACCAAAACTCTAAAGGATATGTATTTGTTTGTTTTGTTTCCAGGAGGATCGTTTTGAAGAACTAACGAGAAGGCTTCAGGCGGAGCGAGAGACGATATCGCAGCACGCCCGGCCGGTAGGTGCCTCTTACATTTTGTTTGTGAAACTAATGACGTCAAGTGGTTGTGTGTGTGTGTTTGTGCGTGTGTGTGTGTGTGTGTGTGTGTGTG